TCCTGACCCTTTCATGTCCCCATAAGCCTACTATGAAAGTGACATACAGGAACATAATAGGGCTGTGTGAAGTGGGCCCTATTCAATTTGGAATCGGCCCGAATCCGGGGCAGTGATTTGATTCATTGATTTGGATCACTGTCCCTGATTCGATTTGGCCAAATTCAAATCTGAACGTTCAACGCTGATTCGGAGAATCAGCAATTCGGCCATAGACACAGCTTTAAATGTTTTTTCTACATACCTCAAGGTACCAGTGTGACTTGTGAACGCTGCGATGCTGGGGCACATGGAACATCCCACAGGAGCGCGCGGGGGGCCTCCACATGTTCGGCGGCAAACCCAGAAGTACTTCTGGTCCACTTCTGGGTCCGCCGGGGAGCACGCTGGGGGGGGCCGCCCACACCCAGGAGGCACCAGTCACCGAGCTGGGGGGGGGGCAGGGGGCAGCTCCCCACGTGCTTCCTTGCAGACTCAGAAGTAGACCGGAAGTGCTTCTAGTCCACTTCTGGGTCTGGTGCCGTGTGTGCTGGGGACCCTCCCCCACCCCGTGCTCCTGTGGGATGCTCCATGCACCCCAGCATCACAGCATTCACGAGCCGTGCTGGTACCTAGAGGCACGTAGAAAAAACATTTAAAGCTGCATCTATGTCCAGATTGCCAAATCTTTCCAAATCTCTCCGAATCGATTCAGAGGATTCTGATTCGATTTGGAGAGATTAAAGGGTCCTCTGATTTGATTCGGACTTGGAGATTCGGCCACCGAATCAGGCCGAATTTCCACTGAATTGAATCAGGGACCAAAAGTTTGCACAGCCCTAGAACATAAATACTGAAAAAAGAAAAAAAAAAGTCCATTATAAACAGCACCATCCATGATCGATTCAATGGATGTCAGAGCCAAATTACAGACAATGAATAGTAGTAGCACAAACTCCAAAGATACCCCTGGTATTTGTCAGGTGATAAACAAGCTGGGTGATAAACTTGACTACTCAAATTATTTCAGGGCTCTTTTGTCACATTTTCAGGAGTGACATGATGTCAGATGTGATTAAGAAAACCCAATGGCCAATTCCAATGCATATTTCTCCATGCTGCACCTTAAGAGCTAAAACAAAACAAAACAATTTCCTCACAACCTGATTTGTAATGACAGATATGCATTTCTTGAAAGATTTTACTTGTCTCAGGTGGAACAGTTGGAACTCTACTTTTTAAAAGCTACCTGAACTACCTGGAAGGATCTTCGTTGCAAATACTTCATGAAGCAATGCACTGTTGTGTTTTGGTTTGGATGCTGTGTTTTTTCTGCTGCCTGTCTCATCCAGTTTCTTAGCTATATTCATGGGAACACGTCTGTCTCATATTACTCCTACCAGAAAGATCAGCGTTAGTACGGAAAACCCTTCTATCTCTGTCCCTGGGTAGACCCTTCTACACTCGGCTTCCTAGTGCATTTAGTGTCCCACATCTATTTTGACTGCGGGCTCCTAGGGCAGGACAGTGGGCCTGATCTTGCAAATTGTGTTCACAATACCACTAAAACCACTTTTTAGCAGTTTTATTGTGTAAGGTTGGGTTCAGGTCGGCATTTATTGTGTCAGGCTGCCACAGTTTAAGTCAAATCATTGTCCTAATTATTACAATAATATGGAAATATATCAGGTCATATTGCAGTAGGTGGAGGGACAGGGCAAAATTGAACACCAGCACTACTCATGTGAGTTATCTTTACTTGGTAGTAAAGAGAACTTGGCAGGACTGGAATACCTTGGTTTTCCTACTCTGAGTCTACATGGGAAACATGTATTCTCAAGCAAAACGTGTTGATCAGAGGTGCCAGCTTCCTGAATCAGAAGTCATGTAGTGAACCTTAATTAGTGCTGCTGAGTCCTGGTGCTGCACAAAATGGCTGTACCGCTTCTGGCTTAAGGAGCAGCCTGTCTAGACTGGCACCACATGTTTAAGGATGACACTCGGGAGCATGAAAAATTGACCATATCAACACAATCTTAGTTTCTCACGCAACACTATGCAGACCATGCTTACTTAACAAAAAACGTTTGCATTGTGAGTAGTGACAAGCTTGCATCATTGAGCATACAAATCATAAAAGAATATATTTTCACCTGACAGTTAATGATAAATTGTATAGAAAGATAGTTAGCGATGTTAGTCTGAAGATAGGCAGAAGGTAGGACAGGGTGACACGTCATACACTAACTCTTACAGAGAGGCAAGAGCTTTCATAGGCAAGAGTCTACCTCCTCATGGTATCTGAAGGAGACTCTCACCTACAAAAGCTCACACTACTTGAAATGAGTTATCCTATAAAGTCCCACCCTGCCCTGCTTTCTGAATCATTTGTACATGAAATAACTTAATAAAAATTGCTACTATAAGTAAAGCTACCTATGAATGAGATTCCAATTCTAATTATTTATATTAATTCATATTTCTGTTGCATTTCCAAACAAGAGCCAGGTGACACTTGACCATTTTCTTTTCCATAGACTTGTGAAAAGACTATTTTATGTCAGCCCATTTGGATTTGCATTATCTGAGTCTTGGGCTGAGGTTTGTTTTGAGATTTTTGAACCTAAGTTTCTTCTTGTAACTTCAACTCCAAATTATGAATTGCCCCAAGTTTCTCAACATTGCCCCAAGTTTCCCTGTACAGAGTTGTGATTTTATAAACATGATCCAAAACACTTAGAGTTTTTCTTATGATACCTGGTTTCTCTGCAAATATTTCACACAACTCTTCTGAAAGCTCTACAGAATGGCTTCAAAATGTTTGTATCAACTAACAGCTGTAAGGAATGCCATTGGCATGCAAACTGGCCATTCCCTAAGGAACACAACTGATTTTAAACTAATTAGCCTAAGGATGCATTCCATAAGTCTTTAAGTAAAATTAATTAACAGAAAGTTGACGTGAAGCTAGGTGGTAGAATGCACAGCTGTCATTAGTCAATACTGTCCTTTTAATTTGCATTAACCTTGCAGTCTCCAGGAGGGAGGGAAAAAATCTTACTAGCCCCAGGTTCGATTAAAATCAACCAGGTTAACACATCTGCTGGGATCCTAGGATTCAGCAGCATCAAAATTTGGCACCACATTTTGGCAGTTTGATGGAATACTAAAGTAAGGTTAATTTCAAGGTGAAAATGGCTGATCATAATGTATAAAAACAAAAAGGATAATAGCAATGAATAATCGTTAGATGTGAACATTAAGCATGCATGAAGACTGAAGCTTTGGTCAGTAACTTACTACACTGTTCCATTCAACCAGACTTGCTTCTCTGATCTCTTATCCTCAGGGTCCCTATTTCATCTACAAATTCAGACTCGAGACCAAATTCAATCTGAATTTGTACAACTGGGTGAATTAGGTTAAGATCATGTACAGTGCAGTTCTGTTTTTTACTAGTTTTACAGTGGTAGTAGCTGCCTGAATCCATACAGCCAGGCACGGATTATGGAGGATGGGAGCAAAGGCTGCAAAATATGTCTCCCTTTCAAAAAATTCCAGCCATTTGTGCATTCTTCTAGGGATTTCTATTGGTCTCTTTGGGTGAGTTTCCTACTTGTATTGTCACCCCATACAACAGAAAAACTAGCCAGCGAGGAACGTTTAGGAGCCAAGGGGAGTGACACTAGATCAGGGGTGAAAGGGGATCATAGCTTGTGCACTCAATTAGCAATCATGTAAACAGCGATAAGAGTTAACTGCCCCCGCAACAAATAAAAGTGTTTGTATACCCCAAGGACTTTCATTAGTTGAAAAGTTACTGGGCATTTCTACACGTGCCTCCAACTGCGTAGTTGTTACCACACTGTCATTTAGTATATGCTTTAGCAAGGGCTAAATGACTGTGCCGTAATTGCCATTACTGCACAATCCCAGCGGCGCACAGATCATTTCCAACCCTACTGGACAGTAGCAATGAGCTACTACATAGTACTATATAGTAGCTCATTGCTATTGTGCAGTAGCCTGGGTGTCACGGTTCATGCCTGCCAATGCTACTTCGCCATAGCGATGAGCTACATTGCCAAAGCTCATCAGTACAGCGACATAGCGTCTCGTGTAGATGTGCCCGCTTATTAGCTGCCATGTCCAATTAACACCAGCTATTTTGTCTAGGATGTTTTCCAAGGTGACAGACAGTGCTGTAAGTGAACTTGATATTCCTAACCTTTTGCAAAGAAGCAATGATGCCCCAAAAAAAGGGTAACTAATTAAGCTACAGTTTGCTCCCCCCCTGTTTGAAAGAGATCATGTATCCCTTGGATGTGTATCCAAAGACCCTTTGAAGAAAATTGGCTAGAACAAGATTATAAAAAATGGAAAAGAAAATGATGAGCAGAATAAAAAGGTCATGCTAAAAAAAAAATGTAAAGCAGGTTGCAGTTGAAACACATGTAAATGAATGGCATTCTGCTATCTAGATCTGCAGCATGCAATAGGTATTATATATTCCAATTATGTCTGCAGTAGGTCTGTATTATTATTATAATTGGTTTTGATTCAGCTTTCAAATGATTCCATGGGGAAAAGATAATGCATGTTTTTAAATATTTTTAAAATTATCCGTAATTATTCAGATAGTCTCTTCTTTGATACATTTTCATAGTCGTCCTTTTGTCTCTGTGTATCAGTTTCTTTTTTTTTCTTTAATTGTGGAGCTTTGTCAAGTGTCATTCACATATCTCTAGAACAATGACAGTAAGATTTTTTTTTTGTGTTGTGCAAAGAGTTTTGAATAAAATATTCACCATGCAGGCAACTCATAGTTTGGGTCCTGTATTTGAAGTCGTGAATTGCTGTCTGTGGGATTCCAGTATCCTAGGATCAAATACAATACTGTGCAATTCAAAATAATTTATATACCAAATACATACTATACAAATGATATGGCCAGGATTCATACATGCAGCATCACTGCAGGTTTTAAGAAGATTCATGGGAAAATGTTGCTGAACACGTACCCCATCCAATTCCATAGTAATATAAATGCTTGCTCTCTTCTGACCCAAACACTTTGATCACCATGCTGTAAAGATGAAATCCTTCCACCAGCATCCAAGCAAAAGCACTCAGGAAGAAGAAATGAAGTAGAATGGCCAAGATTTTGCATGGCACCTAAAATATGAAGGAAACAAGAAAAAAGTCAAACATCTTGATGACTTTTTCCCAGTCTTGTTTTTTCTAGGTTGTATTGCTAAACAAAAATTCACTGGAGTAAAAAAAAATGCAAGAAAAAATAACAAAGAGTATAACATTTTGAGCTGGCTTCAAAATACTAGTCCTCTTAAAGGTTCCTAATCCCCCCCCCCCAAAATGCCAGGTTGTACTACCCAACCCAATAAACTGTTGCTCTGTTTATTCCAGATGCATCCAACATGGCAGTAAAGTCGATGAGGATTTTAGGATGTTCTAGAGGTGATGGAGTGCAAGGTAAATAACAGACATTAAGAGAGATGGAAATGAAGGATTTTTTCTGGCTTGTGATGAGAGAAGGAATTATAGGGTTCAAGCAGTATCTCCACTGAAGGTTTGGTGAGAGTAAGTGGAAGAACTGACTTTCAGGGGAAATCTGGACTCCCTCGAGTGAAATGTAATATTTATCTCAGTCTCTAACTCGGGTTACTCCTTCATCCACTGTTCTTCACAGTAAACACAGGACAACGTTTGGATTCAAACATATTGTATTTCAGATGTGTCTATTCCAATTTCACTTAACACCTACAATTAATGAAGTGTCTTGGGAGATTTTAAATTGTGTCACATTTGGGTTATAATAAGCCATAATTTGGCCATGAGCCATATCTGCCTTATGGCAGTAATCTAGTTTAGTTTGGCTTGTACAATTATCTTCCCAGTTTGCCATAGCCTTCATTTCCCAATATACAAAACTGTATTTGCCAGGAACACGACTAGTAGCAAAGGCAGAAGATTAGGAGCTGATCCCTACCAGAGTTTTTAAGACCACTTAAATCCCCTTTAAGACTATTTAAGTCCTCATCCATAGCTCAGTGAGTGGTAGAAATTCTGGAAATAGGGAAAGCACAGACTTTTGTGTCAGGCCCACACCACTCAAGAAGTAAGACCGTTCACCCTGGATAAGCAGGAATAGTAAATTCCGTTTCAAGAAGTTGTTTTGACGAGAAATAAAAGCAACTGCAACAAAAGGAGAAATGTCAATACTACGAGAAAGTATTTGAAGTGGAGACACTCTTCTCAGATCATATTTATAGCTAAACTCATGGGCTTCAGACAGAATACAGGTAATGCAAGGATGTGCTTTTAATTACCGGGTTTCTTTACAGGCCGTCATAACTTCTCTCACCAACTGTTCCCCAAAGAGATCATTATAATTTTCTACTAAACCCTTATGAAAAAAAACAAAGCCAAATCCCACATTATTCTCCACTTGCACACAGAACACCGTCCTTTTGCCACCAGTTTGCTTTTTCAAGGATGACTTATCACAAGGCAGATGCAATTGCCAATGATCTTACTGCAAGGCACCCTTGGTTAGTATGCTTTCAGTTTAAGTATATTTTAAGACCCCTTTTTGGAAAGAATCCCAGAGATATCTGAATACTGCATCTTCCTGGCATGCTGATGAACACGGCAGTGCTTTGCAATCACAACATCCATCAAAAGGCTTCTTAGATACCTATTGACTTTCAGGAGGCTTCTGCTTGTTTACACAACACTTAAATGAAAAGACAAAAAAGCAGTTTTTATTTTCCTTTTCGGTGCCCTTCCATCACCTGGGCAAAGCACACAGTAAGACTCCAATTGCTCAGATACCTCTGTGCTGAAATATTGTTGCCAAGAGGAACCAACGTGCTGCCTCCGCTCCTTCAAATGTTAATTAGCAGTTCTCTTTGTTACATTTGATTAGCTGCCATGTGATGGCATTTCATCCTTTCTGTGGGTGTTTTGGGACTTGATAGTGTAATCAAAGTTTGGATTTGGTTGACGTAGGCAAGATCAGGAACTGTCCTGCTATTCTTGCGCTGCTTCCAAATCAGCATACAAATTAATTTTAATAATGATACAGCGGGTGTTTTGAACTGTGTTGGTGATCTTTAATTGCAATTGCCTGTTTATTGACAAAACGCCCTGGTTACTGTAAAAATATTCTGGTTAAGTTCTTCATCATAAACTCATGGGCCAAAGTATAAAATGGAGCATATTCCAACACCCTGTTGTTTTCACAGGAAAGCTGCCCCAAAAGAAAAGCATACAACAGAAAACTGACCTACAAGACAGGCTTGATCTATCAAATAAGAACTGTCTGACGTGCCAGTCAGAACACAATTCATAAGCCAAGCAAGAAAAAAAAATCCATTACAGCATCAATAAGTTCATCCAAGGTATGTAGTACATCCTCAGGTATCTGAACCCTGGGTTTTCCAAACAGCCACATTTTTTTCACTAACTTGTAAGTGCTGGTATTGTGTTACAAACTGTTCTCTCTTTTTCTTTATTTAATATGGAACCACATCTCTACTCTGAAGTTTGATACAGTACTGTGACTTGTAACTGTGGTATTGTATACTCTTCTCTCTCAAGCTTAAGATGTGGTATAGTGTCCTCTCTAAAACTACAATCCCTTTACATTCATTCCTACGCATTAATCTAAGTGTCTTTTGTAGTAAAAGACAAGTCATCTTTTTGAAGAAGTGGCAAAACTCACAGCAGCTGTTCACAGTACTAGTATTATGTTACAATTATATATATGACTATATTACTGTTGTCATTATATTATGTTTTATTAAAGCAAGAAAACCAGTATTTTGTATCAGAGTTCAAATACGAACAGGTCTGTGTTACTGCAGCGTATAGCATAGCCTGCTCTGGTTGAATGATCTGACACACGTTCCTCATCACTGCCAGACCCGTGATTGATTGTTGGGTTGGCTGGTATAAACAAAAACCCGGTCCAACCAGGGAGGAAGGTTCATAGTGCTCTGGTTGTTAAGAAGAGTAAGGCAGTCTAGCTACTGCATCAATAAAGGCATTGTGTGGCTGGGTGGGAAAGAGATGCCAGAAACAGTGAATGGCTGAACAAAGCCAAACCAATATAGAAGCAAAAGAACTTCTGATGGATGCAATGAAGAGACGCAATATGACCAGTCATCTGGTACATAAAATACTACATAGTGGGCACGTCTACATGAGATGCTAACTGCACAGTAGCCAAATAATGCTACGCAGTAGTGCGTTACAGCCCAAACAGTGCTAATGCACTACTACACAATATTATTAGGCTACTACTGAGCACTAGCATCACTAAAAAGGTGTTCACCAGCACTACCGCACAGTAACTCCAGTTACTGCACATTTATTTAGTACTTGATTATACAAGTACTAAATAAATGTGCAGTAACCATTGCACAATAGCATCCTGTGTAGATGCTCCCACTATCTAGAAAAGGAAAGTATTTCTGCTATGTTTCATTTCCACAGGCCCAGCAGCTCAGTGCCCAGATATCAGCACTTCTCAGAGGTGGATGTTCACTTAGGCAAACTTTCTAAAATCCAGTTTATGATAATGCTTGCAACCCAAGGAGCAGTTTTGTCCAGGCATAAAGAAATCTATGAAACTGTCCGCTCATCATAACTCCACACACTGCTGCACTAATCCTTTGGCCCTGAGTTTAGGTAAGACACCCACTGGATTATAGCAGAAACAAAAGTAATATGTTTTTTTTCCTCTTATGGTTTCCTTTTCTGTCTACGGGTTAGTATTATTCTGAGGGAAGGAGTGAGAACAGTTCGAGCTGTAGAGCTACAAAGGATTAGATGCATATTGAGTTACGGCAGTAAAGTATAATGCTATACACAACACGTAGGTCACTGTAGTTTTCACTGTACAGCTCGAGTCTAACTACGCTTGCTTTTCCCTTGCAAAATATACACCGCTTTGGAAGTTGCTTCATCAGCTGCATCCAGATGTGCAGGCATGTGTGGTTTGTGGTGCCACAAGTCTCTTTGTAGCACCACAAACTGCATGTCCAGAACATTAAAATGGAGGGGGTCTGCAATTCTAATAGCAAAAAAACTAGCGTGGTGCACATCAGAGGAGCATGCGCCAGCAAACACAGAGGCTTGGGCCTTCCCGGAGATGCTCTGGCCAGCAGCCACTCCTTTAGTTGTCCCCTGGCTCCTCCAGCATGCTGAGAGCCAGGAGGAACAGGGAAAGGGCAGTCTCCCCGAAGCATGGCAATTCACCCCACACACGCAGGGGCGTGCACTGCAGCAAAAACTAGCAGCACAACTTTACGCACAACTTTACGCCGCTGCTATTTTTGCTGCTGCATGAGGATGCACCCATTGTGAAAACTTTAAGGCTTAACATTTTTAATCCCACTTTGATACATGAGATTCTCTTAAAGGACACTTGTGTTCTCTTGTGCATGACAAGATCCGAAACACAGCACAGCGAGTTTGATTGAGCAAACAAATTCATCTCGTAGTGACAGGGCTTGGGAAGTTATTGGGCTGTCATTTGGTTGGCAAAGATGCTTGATAGGCCTGTCAGCACCATCAGAAAACATTCTATATGCAGAAGCTGCTATCACTTGGGAAAAAATATCTTGGCTTTAGGATTAATTTTGTAGCAAAAGCAGTAGGAACATGTTATTCCAGTTTATCTGGTATTAAGGGTAAGATTTTTTTTTTCTTGCCCTAAGTTTACTACAAAGATCTCAATACTGTTAAGGGAAAGAATTGCTCCATTTTATAAGTGTACATCCACTGAATACGTTTTTGCCTACCCTCCAAATGGAAAATTACTGTAGTAGGCAGTGTGAATGGGTAGGTAATGTAACAGATCTGCTCAACTGGCCCAAATACTGGGTGTTCATGCTGCTATATTTGCTCTCAAAGATTAAATGCCCAGACCCCAGGTGATAGGGGAGGAAGAGAAGACACTTTAAGGGCAACACCAACCACGAGGATGGTAGTTTCAGGAATGGCACTGCTCCATCATGACTGTCTGTTCAGATAACATCGCTCCCAGGGCATTGCTATACTTTTCTTGGCTACACTGAACAAACTCAGAGTGTAAAATTAATAGACTATATTCTTCTGAACTAAGCAGGCTTATCTCTAGCAGAAACAGA